TCCTCATCTCTCTCTCTCTCCTCTCTCTCTCTCTCTCTCTCTCTCTCTCTCTTCTTCTCCCTCTCTCTCTCTCTCGTCTCTCTCTTCTCTCTCTCTTCGCTCTCTCTCTTCTCTCTCTTTCTCTCTCTCTCTCTCTGCCCACTCTCTCTCTCTCTCTCTCCCTCGCTCTCTGTTCCTCTTTCTATCCTCTCTCTCTCTCTCGCTCCCTCTCTCCTCCTCTCTCCTCTCGCTCTCTCTCTCTCTCTCTCTTCCTCTCTCTCTCGCTCTCTCTCGCTCTCGCTCTATCTCTCTCTTTCCTCTCTCATCTCTCTCCCCGTCCGTCGAGCCTCCCTCCTCCCTTTCTATCTCTCTCTGCTCTCCCTCGCTCTCTCTCTCTCTCTCTTTTCTCTCTATCTCTCTCTCTCTCCTCTCTCTCTCTCTCTCGTCTCTCTCTCTCCTCTAATCTCATATCTCTATCTCTATCTCTATCTGCTATCTCTCTCTCTCTCTCTCTGCTACTCTCTCTCTCTCTCTCTCTCTCTCTCCTCTCTCTCGTCGCTCTCATCGCTTCCTTCGCTCTCCTCCACGCTCTGTTGAATTGATGTAATCCGCAGGACAGTTTACGGCCATTTTTTTCTACTTTTCAACGATTGCGCTTATGTATTTAATGCACATGTGCAAGCACACGAATATAATGGTAAAATTCTCCAGAATAACATTGGGTCTGGAATGGATATCGTATTGCCGCGGTAAAACAAACAGTGGCATGGAGTTCGAACGAGCAGAGCACACTCAATTTCTTCAACAATATTTTCAGAGTAAATGCGGACGTATCGCAGGCAAAATGGTACCCAAACACACACAAGTTATAACGATGTACTGACATTTTGCTTCACACAGTGAAATACACCTGTACATCGCGTAGGTGTGCGCGAGCGTGTGGGTGTGTGTGTGTGTGTGTGTGTGTGTGTGTGTGTGTGTGTGTGTGCGTGCGTGCGTGCGAGCATGCGTGTGTGCGTGCGTGGGTTCGCATATTTACGTTAGGCGTTACGTTAGTGCGTTTCAGGCGCTATTACCCTTTTACTTGCCGACTATGTATCAAGCTCCATTTGCAACTCTGACACAACTCTTCCGCAATTACGTAGAATTTTGACATTTGTCCTTGGTCGGCGCTAGCCAAACGTACCAAATGCAGAGACATTCTCTCGCAGAACTGCGCTGATAGAAGTCTTCGAATTGCTATTCATTTGATTATTAAGTCTTATAGTACACGAGCTTAATTTTACACTGTTACAGTACAGTTATCCACCCTCCTTCCCATTGGGTTGTATCGCCTCAACTCGCTATAGTCACTTGTAGAGTTGCAAAACGTCTAGTTAATAATAAATCTGTCTATATTGTACACTACGCCCGTTTGCACAAACCTTCCTACACGATAGCGCCGCACTGTTCATGGCAATCGTGAGATAAATTGTACGATAAGAAAATAAGAAATATTTGTCGACCTGCTTTGAACTCAATTGTCAATGATGTTGAGTAATTTATAACGTGAATTAAGTGAAATATAGCATTAAAATCAAAACTACTCACGCGAACGCAAGTACTCGTAAATAATAATTAATACGATAAATTCTATTAATAGGAGGTTTATAGGATGCTGTGAGTATTAGTTAGAAAATTGAATAAGTTTGTTGCTATGAACGCGATAGGTTTGTGTAAGCTAATTAAAGTTTTACTAAAAAGCACATTACGGCAACTCGGCCTACCTTCCCGAGTGCTGTGTACACATCATAGATGTGCACATCCTGTCGTAAATGTCACACACTGCGTCGATTTAAACGCGCACGCAGCAGTTTTTTACGTAGCAGTCTGCACCACCGACATAAGCCAATTGCGGTTTTACAGTGATTGGAATAATGCGTGAATATTTCCTGGACAAAAAATCGCGTTGAAAGAGGACGCGCGCAGAGATTAGAAAATGCCAGCTCCCGTGCTGCCTCGTGTTTCCCGGCAAATGCACTGCCTATGTCACTATAGGAAATCCGGCCCTCATCTGCAGCCCATCAGACTAGGAATTAGCCCATTACTGCTAAGCAGCAAGCAATACGTTATTACTTTTATGGATAATCACTTTTATCCCGCATAATACACCGGCCTATACTAGTGTTAGAGCCAGAGAAATAATATACTAGTTAGGTTGTAAATCTGTGTCTTGTAAATGCTGTCCAACGCACTCGCTGCTGACAATGCAGAGCGTTATTACATATATAGAATGTGTATTAATTAGCTGGAAGCATACATAGACTGTTTATTAATTTGGTGGGTGCAACCATAGACTCTTCAGGAATTTGGTGGATGCAGACATGGGCTGTTTAATAATTTGTTGGATGCATTTAAAGAATGTTCATGGATTTGCTAGATGCAGAGATAATAATGTTTATTGATTTGGTTTATGTAGACATAAATAACATTGAACTGCCCCGACAGCATGCATGTAAGGGGATATGTCGTCGCGTTTACTTCACAATTCTCTTGTGGTTATGGCTTTCTTAATTTTCTTTCCATGCAGTGGTTGGATAAAAAATTATTTAAATATTAGATTTTGTATGTTTGTGTAACGCATGTCTACAACCACGCGTCACTATAGACGGCGCCACCATGGGCGCCGATGTCTATTAAGCCCGGCGCACACGTGAGTAATTTTACTCGGTAAAATGATGCATGCGTCAAAATATTCACGTGTGCGCTGGATTTTCGTTGAGTTTTCTGACGCATGCATCAAGAAACTCAATATCAAACATGTTTGATAATTTTTGACTCATGCGTCAAAATATTCACGTGTGCGCCGGATTTTCGTTGAGTTTTCTGACGCATGCATCAAGAAACTCAATATCAAACATGTTTGATAATTTTTGACTCATGCGTCAAAATACTCAACGTGTGCGCGCTAGCTGTGTAAATTTACTCAACACGTGTACTCACAGCGCATGCGTTTAAATCATGTTAAAGATGACTGCGCCCAGTATTGGCTGCGCACAGTCACGTGATCTACATTACCACTTATACCTTGAGTAATTTTACTCACGTGTGCGGCGGACGCTGAAAATATTTCGCGTGAGTATTTAGACGCATGCATGATTTTACTTGAGTAAAATTACTCACGTGTGCGCCGGGCTTATATCGTCATATATTGTCTATATTTACAACATGTGTATATGCATACGCACTCTTCGATCTACTCTTCACCGACTTACCGCCCGCGCCCGCTTGGAATATCAGGGCACTTTCTGCCGTCGGTCGAATCGCGTGCAAAATAGTACGCCTGGCATTTTGCCATTTAATGACGTCGACCAATCATGCTATACTGTTAGATTTCTATCTCTGAATCTTAGTCAGGGTGAGCCTACCTTTCTTGTTGATTTTTTTAAGACGTACCCTATGCGATATGGTTGTAGCAGCTTGATTGTGCTGCCACTGCTTTTGTTATTTTCTGACCATCTTCCAAGGGAGTATTAAATGGTACCGCGCACATATGCGCCTTCAATACCTGGATCCTCATGTCACACCTCTGCACACACACTAGCGTGCACAGTCCGCGATCTTCGATCAATCGCCCTTCAGCTACAGCATTCACTTGTTTTGTCTATTTCGCAGTTACCTCCAGCGATTCTCAAGCTCATATCCAGTAGGATCTGTAGCAGTCGCCCGCTGTGTCAACTTGTGGCTAGCATATTCATCGCCCTGCTTTCTCTCACATCATTCTGCAACCTGGTAAGTAATATAGATATATTAGCAGGTATTGACAGATATTAGCAGATTTTAGGAGATATGTTAACAGGCAGGTGGCTGTCTTAGCGGATCAGAAAGAGAGTATAATCTAGCAGGAAGTTGAAGAAAGTGCAGGGGAAAATGTTGGAGAACGTATAGGAAGTAGTGTAAAGGGAAGCATAACGAAAGTTATGAAGAAGTAGGTGGTATTAGCGAAGTGGGAGATTATAGAGCATATTCTCTAGCGTATATGAAAGTTATAGAGGTAATAATGAGGTAATGTTATAGAAAATCTCAGAACATATTTGCACCTATGAAATAAGTACAGTATAGCAGAAAAATAGATAGGCATTAGCACATATACATATAAATATACATATTACACGTATACTATACACATACATACATACGCATACACATGCATATACATATTGTGCACTATTTTTGCATTTGATGTGCTGATACATGTCAATGACTGTATGAGTGTGCTTTTGCCCGTAGCTAAAGGCTTAGAATAACTTTCTGTCAATTTATCGATCAGCGTGCAATGCTATTACATTGCCACGTATCATAAATTGAAGTGAAGACGTGTTACAAGTAAGCAGCTTTTTTGTAATCGGCGATCGCGCCGGTTTGAATGAATGCGTCTACTATTCTCATCGCGCCAAAATTGCTCTTCAACAACAATATTCTCCTTCGTATTTTTTCATCCGTGTTTGACCCACTTCAGTTTGCGTTGGACGCGGTCGGTTTGCCTGAGTGCATGGAATATTACTACAATACGACTGGACTGGACAACATCACCTATTACATCAGCAATGTGTCGGAGATAACTCTGGGCGTCGAAACGTCCTTGTGTCACCCTGATGGCACGACGCACTTTCCAGAGGTAACGGCAACCTGCACACGGCCGATCACATGAGAGATACCGTTGAGAGTTTTTTTGTTGAGAAATAAAGAAGCCTGCAAAATTTGGTGCTCCTAATGCAGTCGACTTGCGTACATGTGCTCTGATCTTTGGCATACACTCAAGGGCAACACACTCGCACTCACGCACGCACACATAGGCAGGAAGACAGCATATATGAACCAGGTATAGAAAGGTCTACAATGTATATGTGTGCGTGCGTGTGTGCGTGCGTGTGTGCGTGTGCGCGGGCGGGCGTACGTGTGATCTAATGAAGTTCGTCGAAGTATGATAACTATATATATAACTATATATATATATTTATCTATTTATATATTTGTTTATATATACATATATATATATATTTATTTATTTATTTATTTATTTGTGTCTATATATCATGTTTCATAAATAACAGCCATTTTTGCGTACGTGTGTATGTGAGATCTAATGAAGATCGGCGAAGTATGCTAACTATATATAACTATATATATATATTTATTTATATATTTGTTTATTTATACATATATATCAGGAGTAGATAATAGGGAACGAGTGTGACATCAATAAACAAGGACAATTCGTCATTTACTAGCCTTAAAACCTACGATTTACTACGCGTAACTCATCCAACTTGAGCTCAAATCGTACACAGTACCATTCGCCTAGTCACGTGCGAAATCGTTTCCTCGTTTACACAAGCAATCCGGAGATACAGACTAAAAACGTACGACACGATTTATCCATCTTTGGCATCAAATCCAAGCCCATTGCCCCCTCTATTAAAACAAAAGCAGCTACCTAACCACAGCTTGCTAACTCGGCGGGCAATGTGGCTGGCTGGGAGATTTGAGCCGATCAGCTGCTGCTGATTGCGGTTCGCAGTGCTGCGTGAGGGCATGACAGGTATGTGCAGAGGTGGGCTGCTGTACCCGGTATGCCTGTGTAGCTGTGACCGGTCAAAGTTATCTCGCGAGTGTTGAGCCTAATCTCCCAGCGAGCCACATGCCTCGCCGAGTTAGCAGATAGCGCGTTAGGTAGCTGCCTTTTGTTTGAATAGAGGCGGGGAATACGCTGGATTGATGGCCAAAGAATGGATATCGTGTCGTACGTTTTAGTCTGTATCTCCGATTGCTTGTATAAACGAGGAAACGATTTCGCACGATGCTGCAGCGAATGTACTGTGTACGGATTTGTGCTCAAGTTGGATGAGTTACGCGTAGTAAATCGTAGGTTTCAGGCTAGTAAATGACGAATTTCCCTTGTTTTATTGATGTCACACTCCTTCCCTATTATCTACTCCTGATATAATATATATATATATATATTAGTGTCTATATATCCTGTTTCATGAATAGCAGCTCATCTTGCGTTGGCCGTTGTTGCAGTATTTCACCTTCTGTGTCATGCTGTGATGATGCTGTGCAGTCTACCTGGTCGTTGCCAGCTGGCTCAAGCTGATGCTGCTATCCAGCTTGGTCGCCATCTACGCCTTCCTCATGCTGTTCCCTTACGTAAACCTCTTCGACAACAGGACATCCTGCTCTACGCACACGTCGGGTAGGCGTTCGCGCGTGCGCACTTGCGTGTCGGGTGTGTGTGTGTGGTTGTTGTGTTGGTGTGTGTGTGCTGTGTGCGCCGGTGGTGGGGTGGGGGTGGGAGGGTAATTGCTTACGTCACCTTTTAGTGGGGACTGTATTGTTACAGGATCGTTTATTATGCATGAAATGGTTAGTACAAACTGCAGTAAAGATATCACTGGAGTGAATAACAACAAGTCGTTGTTTTTCGTGCACTCCTGATGTCATCGATCTTCAACCTGATGGAAATGTGTTTAGACTAGTCGCATGCAGTGTGCACGTGTAGGCAGATTAGTGGCATGGGTTGGGGTGGCAGTCATTTCACGCTGATACAATATCGGTCCTATTCACTTACCATTGCTCAGACCTCTCGACAGAATTTTCGGCTGGCTGTCAGTCAACCTATTTATAAACTACTCTCTACATCACTTCCAGTCAATCAGAATGGTGTTATAGTAGCCGCAAGAAACGGTATCGCTAGGTTAGGATACCTATTGTATAGACATCCGTCGCACAGCCTGGTCGGGCTAGTGTTATAGTAGTCTTTGATATATTAGACTTAGTATATATATATTATAGTCAGGTGGTAAGTAGCGGAAGTCGGTGGAATTGATTGTCTGCGACTAGCAGTGAACTGCGCTGTCAGTAATCGAGCGGAAATATTCGAGACTGTTTAGGTTTGATTCCGATTTATTTGGTTGCTCAAATCTGATCGGAGCGCCGGACACTAGCTATACATTGCACAGCAGTGAACTGCGCTGTGATACGTCAGTAATCGAGCGGGGAATATACGGAACTGTTTAGGTTTATTCCGATTCAAGGATCCGGATTCCAGTTTAAGCTGGTGGCTCGAATCTGATCGCAGCACCGCAAGCGACACTAACTATACATCGCATACAGACTGGACGCCTAGGCGCCTGGTTTTAGGCTAATCGATTTCATTTTCTACGACAGGTTATGTAGAAACACGAAAAACCACAATTAACACAATCAGCTAACAGGATTCCCGTCAACCGGTCTCGGTTTGTTGCGATAGTGGCGGCGGCTCGGCTAAGGAGAAACAGAGAGGCAAACCCCGTTCATTCTACTGCGCAACCTTAAAATAATCTGCAGCCTACGATATTTTCATATCATTTCTTTGCACACTGCAAGGAACCCGATACCGATACCTAGGAAAACGCAAGTCTGTCTGCAGAATTACTTTACCATGCAGCATTTCTACAATACTATACAGCCAGGTTACGTTATTATGTTTACGCCTTTCAATAAACGCAAATCCTATTTACTGATTTCAAACAATCACTGCTCCTATTTCAATGTTCTGCTATATATTATAGCAAATTAGTGAAATATGAGCTTTTATTAAAAATACAAGGAATTCACGATTTTCAATGGTGCATGTCTTTTAGAAAATTGGTAAAAAAAGAAATTTCTCTGAGTGGCTTGACACCGAACCAAAATTGGTTCTATAGATCCTACTTCAAATTGGTACAAAAAATGAAACTTTGGAAAATTTGAAATGACTGGAGTGACCGGTCGCCCCATATATATCATGCTAATTCATCATGTCGACTAGGCCTCACTTGCTAGTTTACGAATATTATTTCTAGCTACGTTACAATTATTTTATGTTGGTTCGCACAGCATTTGATTTCATTTTATTCTATATTATATATGTAGACTATATTATACATTCTGATTTTATATTGTTACTGCCAGTTCGTCTGTAGATGCATGAAGTAACGTATACTTAACAGAGACGTGATATGGCTAGGTTAACACAGGCGCTTTCTTGCTGCTTCTGTATGAAAGTAGATGTGGTTATTAGCAAGAGGAAAAAAATAGGCGCGGCAGGTCCAATATGACTTACCTAATATATAGCGAAAACGATAGGTGCGATGGTTCGACGAATAATTGTCTCTGGCTTTCGAATTCCCGAAATATGGATATTTAGCTGATGTAATTATTTAGTGTAGCGCATGGGTGGTAGTAGCGGGGTATAAAATCAGCCACTAACAGATAAAAAAGGGACAGTTGATATTGCTAGATTACGGCGGAGAGACCAACGCGAGATTTTCACCGGACTGCGAAAATTGGGGGTATATATTATATACATGTGTGCCTGGGTGTGTCGTGTGTGTGTGTGTGTGTGTGTGTGTGTGTGTGTGTGGGTGTGTGTGTGTGTGTGTGTGCTTGTGTGTGTGTTCGTGTGTGTAGTGCGTGCGTAGCGTTACGTGCGTTGCGTGGCCGCGCGCGTGGCGTGCGTTGTGCCTACGTGTATTGTGTCAGTGGGACCCGTTAAGAACGGATAATGAGTGGTCCGAGAAATAGCGGGTAGTCACGAGTAAGTTAAATAAAATAAGCAAAGATGAGAAAATAAAACGCAAGTAATATCGCGTTACTTTCAATTCTCGTTATTGCGGGGGCGCATGCAGGCCTGTGTGTTAGTGTGTGTTGTGTGTGTGTGTGTGTGTGTGTGTGTGTGTGTGTGTGTGTGTGTGTGTTGCGTGAGTTGCTGTGCGTGCGTGATGCGTGCAGTCGCGTGCGCGCGCGTGCGTGCGGGGCCTATCGTGTATGTGGCAGTGGGACGCCTCTGTTTAGAACGCGATAATATAGTGTTCCGAGGAATTAGCGGGGTAGTCCGCAGTAAGTAATTAAAATAAAGAAAAGATGAGAAAATAAACACCAAGTAATATCGCGTTATTACTTTCAATTCTCGTTATGCCGGGGCGTATGCAGTCCTGTGTGTAGTCGTGGTGGATGTGTGTGTGTGTGTGTGTGTGTCGCGTGCGTGCGTGCGTGCGGCGTGCGGCGTGCGTGCGCTGTATGGTGTGTGTGTGTGTGTGTTCGTTGTGTGTGTGTGTGTGTATGTGTGTGTAGTACTGTGTGTGTGTCGTGTGGTGTGTTGTGTGGTAGTGTGTGGTGTTCAATAGTAAATCAGCTAACACCATGCCACACCACTAAATGCTGCAGCACGTGATTGTGTGTGTGTGTGTGTGTGTGTGTGTTGTATTGTATTAGTAGGTGCCATACTGTCCTGCACGCGGAACTGCAACGATGCCTTTCTCCACGAACTACCGTGCTCTTCTCGCTCCCACCATCGGCTCTTATAATACTGCTCCGTGTATACACATGTGTAACTGGTTATTACCTTAGTCCAAATAAGAGAAATACCTCCGCAAAGGGCGTTGGCAGAATTAATGTGTTATCACGGACCAGGTCGGGCTGTTTGTGTGAGACGTATCCTGACATTGGGTTTGTGCGTTTGTTTGTTTGTGTACAGCCTAACTAAAAAAGTCATGGACGGATTGTCATAAATTTTCAGGATAGGTCAGAAATCGCCTAACTTAGATTGAGGAGATTTTGTAATGATCCGGATCAATTAATTAATTAATGAATTAATTTAATTAATTAAATTTTCAGGATAGGTCAGAAATGGGGTAACTTAGAATTGATTACATTTTGGTGGACGAGCGAGCACAATCAATTAATTAATTAACTAATTAATTAATAAATAAAATTTTCAGGATAGGTCAGAAATGGCGTAACTTAGAATTGATTATATTTTGGTGGTGATCCGGATCCAATTAATTATAATTATTTATTTATTTATTAATAAAATTTGCACTTAATTAATTAATTCATTAATAAAAATTTTAACAGTGAGAGAATTCAGCTGCCTGTGCGTGGAGGTCTGTGCTCTCCGATGCTTCAGTTACTGTTGTCTATATTGGCTGTTACTGTGTTTCTCGTTATTACATATCACACACCTGTTGTATAGCTGTTGTTACCGTTGTTACCACACATGGCACACCACGTTTTTTTCGTCGTAGCGTACTTTTGCGTCCCTTCCACCTCCGCCCCGAGGTACCTGGGCCGCATTTCAAATTGGCAATACGGCGCTGTATTGACACCTGGCACCGAGCGATCGCAAATTCGTTGTAAAGCTACCGATGACTGACGTTTTGACCTGTCCTCCTTCATGTATGCGGCGCCGTATCTCTCTTGCAGACGTAATTATGTGTAGCCAACGCCATGAACTGAAACAAGTACTAATGGAACGGCCCATTCGCATAATAATTTCCAGGATTAGCACGGGGTTATCACACATATGCGCAGCAGCACGTCACCGAGATGGCCAGCACCACACACAAAGCAAATATTCAAATCCCACAACATAATCAAATCGTCCGCAACACAAATCTGCAAAATTCCGCCCACACAAAACTGCACAAACCATACAACAACAAATCACAAGATGGCACAACGCTCGACAACACCACACACACAGCACTACACGAACATCGCCGGCACTGCAACACGCCATCGCAAAACTCAAATAGCAAACAACGCCATCAGAACACATTGAAATGCAAGCAATTGTCCAACCTGATATTACATGGTCTTTAAATATACTTATCACATATTATTTCTGCTTATTATTTACTATAACCTGCCGCGTAACACCACACAAATGGCACCAGCAATTCAGCTCTATCTCTGAAACCCTACAAAGGCAGACCGACACCACAACACAAGATCGCACGGTAAATTCATCACCAGCCCCACGGGCGTCTCCCCCCGATACCTTGGCTGTACCACGCGTAATTGCTATCAGGATAAGATAATAACCTCCCGTAAGGCATCCACGCCTTACTGCCACCGCCGTCCGAGCTCTATGCCTGAAGCGCCCGCCTCGCCGACGAACACTGCACGCACTCAACAGCACACACACTACAACCACGACACCACACAACACACACACAACCACATTAACTCCCCCACTTCACTCTACACAACACGCTATCACCGACACACACTACTGCACTATATGGGCTAAGAAAGCTGCGTATATTATACCTATCCATCATCTCGCAGAAACTATAGCAGTTACGTTCTAGAATTTGCTACACGGCACATTGATGATACAGATGTGCTAGCAATAATCCTGTATAAGTGTCGAATTTATGACGCACGATGTAGCCTAATTAATTAGCAAATATGCACGCCGGCACGCGTTGACTTCTTTTCATACACCGCTTCAATAAACTCAAATCTTTCACAGAGATCATAGCTATTACGTTACCGCGCGTATGTTGACATGTGATACAGGGAGGAGGTCGCGGAGGAGGGGAGAACGTGGGGGAGGAGGTGGTGGAGGTGGAGGAGGAGGAGGAGAAGGAGGAGGGAGGAGGAGGAGGGAGGAGAGGAGGAAGAGGAGGAGGTGGAGGGAGGAGGTGGATGAGAGAAGAGGAGGAGAGGAGAGGCGGAGAAGAGAGGAGGAGTGAGAGGGCAGAAGGGATGTGAGGAGAGAAGAAGAGTAGGAGCGAGGAGGAGAGGAGGAGAAGGAGGAGGAGGAGGAGAGGAAGAGGAGGAGGAGGAGAGAAAGTAGAAAAGAGGTGGAGGAGGAGGAGGAAAGGGAAGAGGAGGGGAAGAGAGAGGTGGAGGAGGAGGAGACAGGAGGTGATGAGGAGGAGAGGAGCGAAGGAGAGGAGGAGGAGGAGGAGGAGGAAGAGGATGAGAGGAGGAGGAAGTGGAAAGGAGGAGAAGGAGGAGGAGAGGAGGAGGATAGGAGGAGGAGGAGGAGGAGAGGAGGTTGAGAGGAGGAAGAGGAGGAAGAGAAAAGAAGGAGGAGAGGAGAAGGAGATGAGGAGGAGAGGAGGAGATGAGGAGAAGGAGGAGAGGAGAGGAGGAGGAGGAGGAGGAAAGGAAGTGGAGGAGGAGCAGGAAGAGGAAAGGAGGAAGAGGAAGATGAGGAGAGGAGGAGGAGGAGAGAAGGGGGATAAGGAGGAGGAGTAGAAGGAGAAGGAGGAGGCTCTATGATCTTGTCATCCTATATCACTATCTACTGATTGAAGCCAGGGTCCTACCATCCGATATCACTTTCTACTGTTTGAAGCCAAGCTTCTACCATTTCATATCGCAATCTATTGATTGAAGCCAAGGTCCTACCATCCAATATCACTCTCTACTGTTTGAAGCCAATTAAGGTCCTACCATTCAATATCACTCTCTACTGAATGAAGCCAGGGTCCCACCATCCCATATCACTACTGTTTGAAGCTAAGCTTCTAACATTTCATATCACTATCTACTGAATGAAGCCAAGTTCCTATTGTTCCATACCAGTCTCTATCATAAACCATGTCTTTGTACGTATGAAGATTTTTAGAATTGTATCTTAACTCGTTCGCTCCATGTGATAGTAACTGCACTTTCTTACCGGCCATATAGCAGCGCCTGAATAAGCCTATGGGCATTACCGCGCGTGAATAACAGCTAATTACTTAGACTAATCGTGCGTCAATAAACTCGACACTCAGAGATTATTGCTAAAACATGTATCATCATGCATGTAAAATTCTAGAAACGTAACTTATATAGTTCGCGAGATATGATAGGTAAATACACTTTCCTACTGGCCATACGCCTACTATGCCTGCATAAGCCTATGGGCATTACCGCGCGTGAATAACAGCTAATTAATTAAGCTAATCGTGCGTCAATAAACTCAACACACTCAGAGATTATTGCTAAAACATGTATCATCATGCATGTGGAATTCTAGAAACGTAACTCATAGTTCGCGAGATATGATAGGTAAATACACTTTCCTACCGGCCATGATTATAGCGTGATAGCGTGTGTGCGGAGGGTTAACAGCTGTATACAATCAGGAGTAGATGATAGGAGTAAGATATCCTGATTATCTACTCCTGATACAATGCGCCCAGTACAGACAGTACAGGCGGGCGCGGGCAGGGGATTTTGCATTTGTGTTGTGGCGTTTGCATTAAAATTTTGTGTTGTGGGATTTTGCATTTGTGTTGTGGCGTTTGCATTA